AACTTTCAGCTACAGCTATTATAGTTCGACAATTACAAGTATACAATTAAATTAATAATATTAAACATGATAATAATAAATCTGATTAATACAAATAATGATAGACGGTAGAAAATGATATTTTACATTATTCAAACCTTCTAATGGTTAATTGATTTTGTTTAAGTCAATGTCAACTGTGATAAATAACTAATAAGACAAGTACTAGGTAATTAATAATTAAAATATAATTATTTTTTTTATTTTTTTTACTTTTCTGTTAATCAGGTTACATCACATTAGGGCAGCTAATCAATGTCATGCCGTTTAAAAATACCCTGGTTAAAGTTACTATTTCTGGTAATAGCCTATTAGAAGCATTTGAACAAAGCGTTTACGACTTTGTAGAGGATCAAGGTGGATCTAAACTTTTACAAGTATCCGGTAAATTCAAAATTTTAACATTAATTTAGACACTTAAGGTATTCAGGGTTTATCTTCTTAAGTAAGACCAACATTTCAATTTCGCTAACACAATATGTATTTTTGGGTAATAACTATTTTGATAAAAAAAATATTGTTTTTCAGGCGTTCTGGTCGAGTATGATTTAAAAAAAAGTCCTGGTAACCGAGTCTCTTCACTGTCACTTCGATGCGGTGATTGCAATGTTCCTAAATTCAAACCTCTACAGTTAACAGCTAACTACACAATAGTGATGAATAATTATTTGGCCGAAGGTGGGGATAATTTTAAAACATTTCAAAAAGTATTAAAGAAAAATCAAGTTTTAGGTTTGTAAATTATTATGTATTATTAATTTAATTCTGTAATAGTAGATAAGATAAATGTTTATTGTTACTTATTATATTGTCTATTAATACGTTCAATATAATTATTAGCTTAAAGTAAATATCCAACATAATATTAACACAGCTAGAACTAAGAAGAACAAAAAATCTCATAATTTTCAATATACTATTTTTTCAAACAYAATATTATTACAAGTTCAAACTCTCGGGGGTAATATTACCAATTTATGAAGTAAAGTGAAAGTTAAAATTGTATAAATTAGATTTATTCCACATTCTTAATTTTTTTTTTTTGACATTGTATAAATGTTAACAAATACCTTAATATATTTAGTATATATATATATATATATATATATTACACAAGGATAAGATTGTAACTAAAGTTTATACGTTTTTTAAAATGTAAATAGTGAATAAGATTTAAATTAATATTTTTTTCTTTTATGTTAGCTTAATTTGCATAACCATTGCCAAAATATCTAAAATAAAATATATATTTTATTCAGATATTGAAGATTACAATGCAACAGCTATGTATATCAAAATTATAAGCCCAATAACAAATGGAATAGAAGGCAGAATCAAATTTATATCTAATGGCAATGAGAAGTCAGCTGGATCTAATATAAATTTACGAAACTATAAATTTATATTAATTCCATTCATTATTACAGTATTATTTTTTAACATTTAAGACTTTTATATATATTATACATTAATACAATTATACAAAAATAATTATTAGCCTAACAAATTGTACTATAATCTTACAGATCATATTTTTTTACTTAAATAATATAGTTTTGATAAACAGTAAGCACTCCTCACTAAAGCCAATATTTATAGGTACTGACGGTACCGTGCATAGCTTACGTTTGAATTGTAATAGTAGACGGTACCTATAAGTTTATTCCTTATAATTTAAAAATAATTTTTTAATTTAGTAAAATGTATGTGTTAATATTTATTTTGCAATTTTCAAATTTAAATTACAAAAATAAAGTCAACATTAATATTGAAAAGTCGTAAGCATTTATCGGTCTTGAAGTTTTTACTTGAGTTTTACTTTTTATGTATTATTCAAAATTACATATTTGTATGATGTATATTAAAGAACATTGATAAAGAATATTATTCTTAACTTTCTCGAACGCGGCTTTTACCATATTATATGACAGCTCCAACCAATTACAGCGGTCAAAGTAAGCTGAGTTCAAGAGGAGCGTCTAAACACAGGAATGCATCTCATGTCCTCATGCATACTGCGCATGTGTGTTATTTATTTTTCCACTATCATTATGTTATGCTGTTATCAATATTATATCAAATCAACACTTGAAAATACATAATTAAATGAATCAAATGTTTATTTAAGTTGAAAATTTGAAACATTATTTTATAAACAAATATTTTATCATTTAAGTAACCCTCCCACCCCACCCACCCAAAAAAAAAATAAATAAATAAACACATTGAGTCGATACGAAAAATTGTAGAATGTAGCAATACATTGCTATACCTCCAAAATATACCTATAATTATATTACTAAGTGTAATTTATGATAACATTATGATTAAAGTAATGTATTTTACAATAAAGCATTATTACTAGTATACTGATATTAGCCATTAGGTACCTAAATCAACTTTTGCCGAAATCMTTGCATTTTAAAATGTCTCTTAGTATGTAYATAAAATATAATTAATAAATTTAAAAAAACTTTGCTGTGTTGCAAGATCAATTACTAAAAATTTAATGAATCATTTATGCCGTCGCGCTTATGATCCCAAATATTTTTCAAATTATTGTTTTTATTTTTTTACCTTAATACCTATAATAAGTAATATAATTGTAAACTATTTTAATTGAAAACAAATTGAAAAATATTAATTTGAACAAAATTTAGTTACATATATAGGTAGATCTCTGTAAAAATCATATTTGTACGTATTCTTCTATTCAGCGGTTCCCAAACTTTKTACCATCGCGGCACATTATTATTAGTTATTATAAGTCACGGCACACTTTTGATAAATATTATCTACTTATCGAATAATATAATAATATGTATATAATGATGTCGGGTATTAACTATTATTATCTTTATTAGGTAATAATAGTATTATCTCTTGATAGCTGTACTTGTATATATACTGAAAAGTTTTTAGTTTTACATACTGAAGTTCGGTGGTTATCAAAACTCAAATGGTAAGGTTTTAAACATATTTTATGAAATGAACAATGAGTTRTTGCAATATTGTTCAATAATACCCGAACATCGATTTCATAGGTAACTCAATTAGATAATCCATTATTGTCTGAAAAACTTGCTTATCTAGCTGATATTTCTAACCATTTAAATATCCTTAATTCCAATATGCAAGGTAAAGATGAAAACATATTAACATTGTCTGATAAATTAAATGGGTTTTTACGGAAAATTAATCTTTGGATATCACAAGTAGATAAAAAAAACAACTGCAAATGTTTCCATTAATAGCAGATATTGATCCAGATGGAGAAGTAACATCTGATTTGATAATAAATCATCTCATAATTTTAAAATAAAAAAATACTTCCCATCTTTGCCTGTTCGAATATCATTGGGTGCGCAATCCTTTTGCAGTAGCATCAGATGTAATATCACATCTAGGATTAGTTGAACAAGAACAACTTTTAAGACTTCAATCTGATCGTTCATTGAAATTAAAATTTAATGAACTTAAACTGTTCCAATTTTGGAGCTTTATTAAAACAAAGTATACGATAATTAYAGAAGTTTCAATAAATATATTATTACTATTTTAAATCATTTTAGTTTTTTTATAAAAAAAGTTCAAGTTGTTGTGGCACATCTTTCAAATTTCACGKCACACCCTTTGTGAAACACTGCGTTCTATTAATCGAACAGAAAATGTTTTAACTCGTAGTTTTTAGTTTTTACCACCTTTTACAAGTTTTGCACTACCACATAAGATATATACAGACCATACAGTTTGATACTTTATAATTTCCCGACTAAGATTAATATAAAAATTATTACTTCTGAAGTAGGTACCTAGTGCCCTAATTATACTACTTATACATAATATTACAATTATAGTATATTATCATCATTGTATGTACAATTGTTTAAATAGTTTTTTTCATAAAATATAGTTGTTGTTTATTTAATTGTAAACAATGAAATGCGAATGTGAATTTTTTTGGCAATAGACAATAGTTCAAAACTACAAGTAAGAACATTAGGAATCACTTTGGTATATGAATATTTATTACTCACAATAGCGTCAGCAAGTGAAAATATTATTATATGAATTACGTTTCGGGCAAAAATTATTTAAAAATCTCAACTTATATAGGTACGCCATTCGTGGCCTTGTGGGTGTCGATATCCACACTTTGAGACTAATTATTTGATAATAATAGATCTCATTATAATAGGTTTTTGATCAAACGAATTGGTAATCGTTATTATTAAATTGGAAATTGGATATTTAAACAAAAATGAACGATTTTAAACATTTTGTTGTAATAAAAAAAAATATTTGTTTATCTAAATCTCATAATATTATACTATTCTGTTCACGGAATGTAAATATTTATCTGACGGACTTCCTTGGACTAGTAGGTGGGAGTGCAATAATGGCTAGAAGTTGAGATTCCACTATATAATACATTTTATTTAAATTTTTTTATGTTTACACTATCCCGGGCCTGATACAGCAGCTATATTTTTATCACGTGATATACRCTTAAAATTGACACACATCTATCACCAACGTGGTGCATGCTACGACTCGAACACACAATTAGGTACTGATTATTACTGTTTCTATAGGTAATACTCGTACCTATACTTCAGACAATGCCAATAACGAGACAAAAGTCAGTAATAAATATTAATTTCTATTATGTGAACAATAATTAACTTATGAACAGTGTATCACATGAATGATTATTTATAATTATATAGTATCATTAGTGCACTTAGTTCTGTATTATACGTCACCATACTATAGTCTRTAGTTATTAGTTACATATACATACACATTAGATACAGTTATACGCAAGAGAAGAGTGTTGGTATTTTGGTAACGAAGATTAGATGCGGGGGTGTAGCGGTGTAGGTAACCCTCCACCTCTCATTGTCTTTTTGACTTTTCTTTAATATAAATATATAATAGTACATATAATTGGTTCGTTATAACAGCTCAATATACGTTAAACCTATGCACTGTGTAGACACTTAATTCGTATTACTTCATTTAAGTCGGYGAAAATCCATTTATGGCGGTGAATTTCCGTGTGTAGGTACAATATATTTTAATATTGGTGCGTATCAGTCGTTTCGTATCGTAGRAACAGGTTCATCGTTATCATACTATACCTACTTGTGAAAGCATTTAATTCCTATGATAATTCGTCTTTTATAGCAATTCGTACATTTGGTTTAATCGCCTGAATTGTACAATAATAATAGTGCGGAGTCCTGAGACARATTTTTTTACCTACTCCCGAAGGTTTAACTTTATGGTCTTAATCGCTCGTACGAAGTGTAATCGATTAACCTACAATATAGAGCGTGAGCGGTCGATCAATCAGTGCTTGTTTTTTTTTCAAAAAAAATTTCCATCGCCGTGCTCGCATCTTCTCCGTACACGCACATTTACGTGTCGTAGGGTTATCGTCGCCATCACACGTCTCCGCGTGAGCGATGAGACCGACAGCCGCCTACGCGTGTTTGGCCGCCATGGCCGTGGCCGCATTCGCCGTGGACGCGGCCGACCTGGACCTAGTGTTGCTGCACACCAACGACATGCACAGCCGGTTTGACGAGACGGACCTGTACTGCAACGAGTGCCGCGAAGACGACGCATCGCTGGGCCACTGTTACGGCGGCTTCGCCCGGGTCGCCCAATTCGTGCGCGATGAACGGCGATTGGCCAACGAGAGCGGCTTGCCGTCGCTGTTCCTGGTGGCCGGCGACACGTTCCAGGGCACGCCGTACTTCTCGTTCTTCGAATGGAGGCCCGTGGTCGACTTCATCAATCAGCTGCAACCCGACGTCATGGTAATCGTTAGGGGCAACACTTATATGCATTTGCATATTTTTATTGATTGGTTCAAAAGTTAACTATAGTTTATACCAAAATTTGACCTAACGATACAGTGTATGAAATTTTATTTTGCATATTTCGACATATTTGCATTTTTTAGTATATTGTATATTTTTGAATCATATTTCGGATCTTAAAGACTCGGGGATCACAAAAAAATAATTTGTTTCACTCATGTGTTATAATATATGGCCATATGGGTTAGTATACTAATCTTAATCGCAAATCATTAGGTTATAATATGCCGTATGCCGTTATATTTTATCCTATCATCGTAGTCGTCAGTCATGGATCGTGGTTTATACTCGTGCGTCACGTTGTTACTATATCGATTGTTTTAAAATTCCGAAATCGAAAACTTTATAAATACCACACAATTCTTTAAATCATTGGCAATAATTGTATTATAGAATACTAAATAATATATTAAAAAATAAATCATTTAATTAAAAACAGAATATTACTTACGATAACATTTTTTTTTTAAATTTATGTTGGTAATTTTTAAGGCATGTTAATTTTTAAGGTATGCATATTTTATAGATTTTTAGGGCATATAGTTGTTGGCCCTATAGTAATCGTTTTTATTTTATTTTTTTACTAACACGTTTTCTTCACTTAAATCAACTATAAACTAGTGGGTATATTTAAATTTACAATGTTTAACGTTTGTACATCAGATAGTATACAACATTTGAGTGATTGTAGATTATTAGATTTTTAAACTAACCTGTTTATAGTTATTAATTTTATTATTATGCAAAAATTTTAAAAATATGTTTACAATTACGTTTTTTCAAAATAATAGGATCTAAGACATTTCTGCACAGCTGTTTCGGCGTGGCATTTTTTTTTTTTTTATAAAAAATATTAATATTACCATCATGAAAAATAACCGTAAACAAATCGTCTATTGTACAATTAATTTATGATTATATTACTTTTTTTTAAATAGGCTTATATAAGTCAAATGAACTGTAATGGATTTCACATTTAGCGATTTTCTTATTTTGGTGTAACTCTAAAACAAATGACCGCAGATACTTGAAATTTTCACTGAATTTTCTATATTTGATACAATATTCAAAATAATATTTAGATTTTTTTTGAGCTGTTTATTGACATTTTAATTTTTCAACTTTTTTAGGTTTTTTTTCTATAAATATCGATAAAAATTTATTTGTTGGGTAGAAAAGCTTGAAAATTTAATTCAAGGCTTCTAACACATTATAACAATATCAGTTGAAAAATATTAAAAATACATAGCACGATTTTTTTTTTTATAAGCATTTAAAGTTCAAATTTTGACTAAATTAAATACGTAAAAATTACGGCAATGTTTAAATTATCTTAGATAGAAATTCATAAAAAAAATTTATTTTAAATCTAAGATTTGAAAATTTTTAATAATCTATATAATTTATAATATATCCTAGACAGATAAACCGTCTTCGCTCAGAATCGTTTTTCGTATACAATGATATAATATCATTGGATTCAAATTTAATTCCATCCATTACAGTAACCCACTTGTAACCTACTGTACAGCAGAGTGACATCCACTTCCCGCTTTTTAAAATTGTATGTAAATTTACCTGTGGCACCAAGATATCCCCGCGCCGAATTATCTCCGTGCAAAATGTATACATTCTTGTATACAAGATATATATCTATATACATCTGTTGAGAACTTTTATTGAGCTTGTTAGGACCGTTCAAATTAAATAGAAATCTGAAGAAAATTACTAAATACCAATACAAACCAKGAAACATTTGAAATCAAACATATGACTTGTATTTTGAGTAGGTACTGCTGATCACTAAAATCTAAAGCCCCTGGCTGTGTGCTGATCATTTTTCATAAATTATTTAAATGGTTTTACCTACCCTATAAAGATAGATAATACTCAATGAATCAGAAAAAATTTTAGATAAAAAATTTGGACCGATACTTAGTATAACTAAGTAGTTATAGATAATTGTATAACTCTTAGATAGTGGTTCTCAAAATGCACTAGTTAAGTAAATTAAATTACTAAATCATTTGTACATCAGGTTTATCAATATTTTTAAGTCTTAAATATATTTTTAATACAATTGAAAATTGAAAAATTAAAAATTAAACAATCAACCGATAAAACACTCGTGATGAGAAATATTACCATTATGGAAGTCATTGATTTTCGTCAAACACGTAAATGTTCATAACAAATTAAGTTTTTGTGATAGGCTTTTGATTTTTCTTCCATTGAATAGACAATTCAAAAATCTATAATCCGTTATAACATTAATTATTCTTCTATGACTAGTCAAATAATTTAAATTGATAAAAACGTGTAAACACGTCCACAGTAGTGAAAGGGTTAGGGCATATTTCCCCCATTCAAAAACTATAAATTCACTATTAATAAGTCTACTATTGCTAATATTAATTAAAATATGAACGTATATGTAACTGTTTCTATTGTATAACAATATAAGTTCTAAAAGGGTGATCGACTTTAAAATCGTTTAAAATCGACCAGTTCACCGCGATTGATCGTGCTGCCCCTGGTATATGATATAAGTAAAAATGTATTATATGATAGTATTGTTAAGTCAATGATCATTATCTACTAACCTATGTCGTGTTAAATAGATACTTTAATAGTAAGAAAATCGATCTATTTCTAATGATATTTGTTACAGACTTTGGGAAATCATGAATTTGACCACGGTATCAGCACTCTTTTGTCATACCTAAACGGAATTCAAGACATACCAACAGTAGTATCCAACTTGAATTTGACGACAGAACCGGAATTAAATAATGTTGTACTGCCGTCAATAATATTCAATATAAACAATACAAATGTGGGCATCGTTGGATGTTTGACAACAGATACCCCGGTAATTATTCTGCATCTGTAAAACGTAAAAGAGTAACGAGTGTTTCCAAAAGAAATTAACTATATACGAGTATACCTATATAATACAAATAAGCAATATAATCTATTAATATAGGTAGGTATACCAATATTATTCATTATTAAGTATGTATATTTCTGTACTAAATAAAGTCCCACTCAAAGTACTACAGTCATAATATGAGAAGAAGAGGCATAAGATGACTTATAGTTCTCACTAAGACACATTCTATATAATAGCTATCTACTTAGGTCTAAGGAAATAGAACTAGATGCCGATAAAATAATCATGCGATTTGTTCTCACATCCCAGTCAACGCAACAAGCATCTTTTAATCTGTTAAAAACACATTAACGTTACAATAAGAAGTTTGAAAATGTATACCTCCCCAGTTGTCCGGTCCAGAGGTGTGTTTAACGAGTAATTAAACGTAGTTTAATGTAATAATACACGACCCTAAAGACTGTATGGACAGTATACTATTACGTCGTCTCAATGAGGCGATCGTGACGAAATAGCTCTACAATTTTTACTGAGTATTTTAAAGCACTTATACCACATTTCATTTTCACCATCATACTAAATATTTTTGAAAAATGCAACCTATATGAATAAAATAATCACTCACTAATCGCTATTATTATACGAATTTAAGTCTTCGCCATAATAATGATAATACAATATACATGTTTTCTTCTACTATTTATCTCTAATCACTTTACATAATTACATAACCCTCTTAATTTAAGTATAATTATAAGAAAACAATAATTACAGATGAAGACTTATCATAATATAATTTAAAACATGTTTAAGACCATTTCCAATTCCGGAGCTGTTGAATTTTTTGATGAAGTAGAATCTTTGAAGAAAGAAACAAAAAAGTTACTTGAAAATGGTGTTAATATAATTATTTGCCTTAGCCATAGTGGTATTGAAAAAGATAAAATAATCGCCAAGGAAGTAGAAGACATAGATATAATTGTTGGGGGACATTCACATACATTTTTGTACTCGGGTAAGCATTTTTAGTAAACGAATTGAATATATTATTACTAGTCAAATATGTATAGGTATTACATCACCTATGCATATAATGTGTAAATAAATATAATTTATGTAGTTTGTAATAAAATCTAAAAATTATGTATCAAAAACGTCTGTTTTAGACACTCCACCCAGCACTGAAAAACCATATGGACCATATCCACTATACGTGACTAACGTTAAAAATAAAGCCGTACCAATATTACAGGCATACGCAAATACCAAATACGTTGGCAAAGTTGTTTTAAAATTTGATTCTAATGGTGACTTAGTTAATATCGATGGTTCACCGACGTTAATGAATCATGAAATAAAACAAGGTTAGTATCTGTTTTTAATTTATAGTTTCACAAGTGATTTCAAATTTGGAAATAATACAGTAATACATTATAATTTATAAAATTATAACTGAAACCAATACAAATGTAGATCCAACAATGATGAATGTGGTCGATAAATGGAAACCACAAGTAACTAGAATTACAAATTTAACAATTGGGCGTACAGCCGTAGAATTAATAAACACTTGTCGGGGAGAAGAATGCAACATAGGAAACCTGATAGCTGATTCCTTTGTATACTATGTAAGTTACATTTAATTTAAAAGTTGCATTTTAATTAATAAGTGATTGATATTTAAGAATGTTTTGAAAAAAGAAGTTTACAATGAGGATTGGACTGATGCTCCTATTGGGATGGTTCAAGCAGGCGGTATTCGTACTACAATTAACGAAACTGATCATGATGGTAACAATATTAATTTTAAATCAACATTTTAATGTAGGTATAGTTTGAATAGAATTAATTTTTTTTCAGATCAAAAGAAATCATTAAATTATTGTAGCTTAATAAATTATGATTAAAAATAAAAAATTTACATTTTATTAGGTTACATCACTTTGGGACAGTTGATCAATGTCACACCGTTTGTAAATAATCTTGTCAAAATTACAATTTCTGGTTCTACGCTTTTAGAATCATTTGAACACAGCGTTTCTGATTATGTATTAAATCATGGTACATCTAAATTTTTACAAGTATCTGGTAAGTAGGACAAATAAAATTTACTAGTTTAAATGAACTACAATAATTATATTCTATAAATTTAACTTTATATTTACTGAACCTTATTTGGTTTCTGAAAAGTAYTTGAGAATTTACTTATTTTATCTTGTATGTTGTAGCTAAAATCTGTGGCAGATTCAGGGGAGGGCAAAGGGGGCCACTTGTCGATTTTTTTCAGCATTTATATGACTAAAATAAATTTATAAATAATTTGATAATGAGCGATCGCACAAATTAAACATACTGTAAATCAGTGGCGGTGCATAAGGGTAGACAATCAACCATTGATTACCCGAACATATCATATCCTTAAAATAATCGATTATACTCAGATTAAGAACTATACAACTTTAATTAAAACATTATTTTCAGGTGTTCTAGTTGAATATGATTTGACACAGAATCCAGGGAACCGAGTCGCTTCGCTGTTTCTTCGATGTGGTCAATGTAGCGTTCCTAAATTCGAACCTTTGGTGTTGACTGCCAACTATACAATAGTGATGTCCGATTATTTGGCAAATGGTGGCAATAATTATCAGACATTTCAAAAAAGAATAAACAGCGAATTATTAGGTTTGTAAAAAAATATAGCCTATTCAAATTAGTTACGTGATAATTTCCAGTTAAAGATAATAATATAAAAAAATGATATGTCAATATAACATAAAATTATAACATAATATTTTAAGATCTTGGTGTGATAACTAAAAATGATTCTCGTTTCCCATTATTTTCAATGAACCCTTACAAAACGTTAGCTAAATATTATGCAAAAATATCATAGTCCTCACACAGTAATATGTGCCTATATTGCATATACATTACGCCGTGTAACGCGCATACAGGAACTAACCTAAAATAAGAATGCCTCTGTCGGGCTGCATGAAAAATTAATTAATTTATTGATTCAATAAAAGTTAATGAAGCAATCATTGAATCATATGCTCACAATATAACTCACAATTTAATATTGATTCAATAAATATTTTGTGATTTTTCATGTCATCTGGTATTTGTATAACTATTATTATGTCTTTCACTAAACTACTTAAGTCTTGACAGTCTTGTTTTTACGTCAATAAGCCAACAAAAATATATTATAAATAATAAATATACATTGCATTATTTAGGTATTGAAGATTATAATGCGACATCGATCTATATGCAATCAATAAGTCCCATAACGAGTGGAATAGATGGCAGAATCAACTTTAAACGTGATAAAAATATCGAAAAATCGGCAGGATCTATAAATATATGGAATTATCGATTATTAGTGACTACATTTATTACTACTATATTATTCTTTAATGTTTAAAACGTTATCTAATATTAATTATAAACATTTAAATAAGTATTATATTAGTCGTAGTACCTCCACTGGGAGGCCTCTACAATCCGTCAAATCTGCCATTTTATATATTATTATTTTTTTTTATCTTAGCTTCTATCATCAATTATTCTTATTGTTCTCCTTTGAAACAAATTGAATAAAACATGAAAACAAAAAAAAAAAATTAAAAAAAATGAAATAAAGTACCTATATTATATTATATAAACAGATTTGTGTGTTTATCATAATAATTATTTATGTTTGGAACATCTGATGTATAATAGTAATTAAAGGTTAGTAAAAAAATCTACGGTGAAAAATTAATTTATTGTGAGCATTTAAGTACGAGTATATGCATATAAATATATAACTTATATATAGACGATATACAATTTATATCTACCTACGACCCATCTTACGATATATAGGTCATAAATAAATATTAGGTATATATTTATTAAATTATTAGTAGTACTGATGAGAACATAGAGAATTAGAGAATAGTCCTCGGTCATTGGCCATAATTGGATCAAAGATGAATAACGGCAAAATACGTTACAAATAATTACAAAATATCGATTAAATGTTTTTTTTAACTAACTTATCTATTAGTGTCAAAAACAGTTATTATATATTATATCAAATATTTATTTTATTTATCAGCCAATTAAATAATATAACTATCTAAGTGCTAAAAGATACGATTTTGATGGTGAATCAACATTTAATTTTCAAACAATAAAGTTCGCAATATATTTGTTTCATGGGTCAATAGTTTCATCGATATAAAAATATATGAATGAACTTCCAATATTTTCTCGTATTTCTCATCAGGTATAATGTAAATGAGTATATTTTTCCAAAAAATATGTGAAATTGGTATTTTCAATTTTGTCATTTATGCAGTGGTATGTTATAGAAGCAATCAAATCTGAACAAAGGGCTTGGAAAAATATTGATTCATTTTCATCTAATGTTGACTATTGATTAACAAATGTTTGTTTAGAAGTGGGAATTTTCGAATATTTTTCGTATGAAAATGACTTAACGTGCTAATCAATTTGAAATTTTTTTTGTACTACAACTAGGTAGGTATTTTCTAATCTTTATTCTATGGGTACTTTCGTACTTTATCACAATATTGACAAAAAACTGAATTATTATTTAAGGTTTTGAAAACCTCACCTGATTTGTTATACGGTTCAACCCATTTTCTAAGTGATGGAAATTTCGAACTTGGACACTTAGTCATTGTAAAATAACAAACTCAAACATTGCTACACAAAATGTACACGTTTCTATAATACGTTGGTCGTTGACTTATTGCCGAATATACGCTTCGAAATACAGTCGTCAGGATATCAGTTCGTGTTCTGTAGTATTGACGATAAGTGTATAATGTTAGACAAAATCGATAAGATAAAAATATACGATAGGAAAACCAGTATGCAATGAATAGTGAATACCTACCTAACGAAATATTATATTTTTTTAAATATTTTCAATTTATAATTAATTAATAATTGTACATACAATTATTAAATTAAATTGAATTAAATKTGTACCTATAGTGATGTATACATACTATATGTAAAATAAAAATTTGTAATATTATTTATTTAAGTATGATTGATGAGGACCCGTTTACTGCATGTAATTACTTATAAAAATATGAACATGCATTATATTATGCAAAATCCGGTCTTTAGTTATAAGTTTATAACTTTATATAAGTAATAAGATGTTTAATAAAGTTTTAAGAAATATTTAATTATAAAGGTAGATTACATAATATAAATTGATATTGGAGTAACTGTAAAATATTATCAAAATTAACTTTTTAATATAATCCATTAATCTTCTTATTAGCAAATTTCTTTAAGAGGACGCTACACCCGCATATGTTGTCTTCGTTTTACAAGTACGTAAAATAGCAAATTTTACGCACAGCAGATCACGTTTAGTGCCGTTAGTTTAAAATTTAGAGTGAATTAACCTCTTATAAAAAAGTTAATATTATTTTCGAGGGCTCCTCAGAGCGTTATTATTTCAGTACATTCGCTATGTCAGTATGTCAATTATTACATGTACGTCATTAATAAATTATTAATCATTTAAGTGGACCACTCAGACTGTCCAAATACCTTACAGCCTACGCTGGTTGCGATCATCGTTGCTGAGTAGTCTAACTGCGAACCACCAGCCGTCTCACGCTTTGGCACCTGAACAACTCTCATCATCGTGGCTGATGACGACTCCAGATTTGCACCTGGAGGGGACGATGCATACTACAGAAATGATCCTGTGAAGTATGATCTTAAACCTTTCCAAGGACACCAGCCCATACTTATAAGGAATGACATTTACTTAACACAAGCAGCCTACTAATAGTACTAATTGGTGCATTAAGTTACAGCTTTATAGGGACAGAATTCATTGGTTGAATTATCATTATACTCTTTACTTTAATCAATAGTTTTGTTGGATTAACGAACGTATACGATAAAACAATTGAACGTTCTGAAAAATCGTTAAGTACACCACTCGACGCTGCGTTTTAGTGAATGTTTGACGACAGAGCCATCTATCGACGGTTTTTACCATAAAAATCCCCAATATCATTGAGCATAATATAGTATCCCAAAAAAGAACACTACGCCAAACCCCGTGTAAAAAAACGCTCAGTATAAAAAAAAAACTACCTCAAAAAGTTGTGATATCATTTTATAGCTATGTATTTAAACTATATAGGAATAGATATATTATTATTTATTATCATTTATGTTAAAATTCACTGCTTATAAATTGAACTTGGCTGGTGACATTATTTAAAACACATGAGAATTCATTTCATATTAGTCGTATTGAGTATACATGTTATCTTTGAAAATGAGTGATACTAATTAAGTGTTATATAAATTAATTGTTATAAATTACTATAATTAAGTGTTATAATTTTAAAGTCACCAGCTAAGTTCAATTTATAAGCAGTGAATTTTAACATAAATGATAGGTAATAATTTATCTATTTCTATATAGTTTAAATACACAGCTATAAAATGATATCACAACTTTTTGAGGTGGTTTTTTTTTATACTGATGAGCGTTTTTTTACAAGGGTTTGGCGTAGTGTTTTTGTAGGGATATCACTAATTTTTTTTATGTTATTATTATTATTTTTATTGTTGTTATTGTAATCATTATTATTAAATATTATAATGTGATATGTGTATTATTATATATTAAGGTTTTAAAGTTTTAATTTTTTTTTTCCATTAATATAACGTAAATATCTTAGTGTGATATTATAATTAAGTAGGTAATAAACTAATTATTATAAAAATATAAATATAAGACATTAGAAATGATAATAAATTAATAAATATTATTATAATGTTGACATTAAAAAATTGTAAAATGCATTATCGCCATATAATTAACGTAATTGAAATTCACATTTTAATAAAAATTATTATGATCATAAACTCATAAGTTTGTGTCATCCCCCCCCCGTTCCTGTGAAAAAATATAGCTGGGGTACGCAAAAAAAATTTAAAAAATAGCAGGGGAGCTCCGCCCCCCTGTGTACCCCTAAATTTAAGCACTGCTATTAATAAGCCTATGGTACATATAATAAGCATAAACCTACCTATTTAAAAACAATTATAATCAATCAGATGTCATTGCTTATAGTCATGATAGACCTAGTTATAGTAGTGGGGAATTATTGATTCCGCCGAAACTACCTGTTTAGAAAATAGGTTTGTATCGATTCCGCCGGCTACTGTTAATATTATTTACATATTGATTCCGCCGGACACTGTTTATCCCCCACCCTTGAATATGTATTTTATATAGTAGAATACAGAGTCGGTAATATATAGGAAATATACGATTTACAGCAATACGTACGGAATAAATTAAAATTCCTATATTGACTCGTTTTATTTTTATTATTTTATACAAATTAGACTATACATTTTAGTTTTAATTAGTATACAATTATTATTAATTTATATATAATTTATATATTATAAAGTATATTATGTAGGACTGTAATTTAAAAACTACATTTACTAATTACAAGGGCGGGATAAACAGTAGCCGGCGGAATCGATATAAAATCGTCGGAATCGATATACGCCCATAGTAGTTTATAGCCTACAGGTATATGCTTATAGTACAATAAATTATTCATAATATACTTTTATGTATATTATGAATATTTACCATGCATTTTTATTTTAAATGAGAACAAATGTTAATTTGATAACTAGCATGAATGGAATGTCATGGTAATCCATCTATCATTGGTAATAAACCAGCACCTCTAAGTCAATAAGTAGGTTTCACGCATAAATTCTATTCTACTCATTATATTAGTTTCTGGAAGTTGTTGGCAGTGCCTTATCTAGGCATTGGCAAGGTAGGTGGTGGCCAAGGGCGCAGTTTACAATAATCGCACTAGGGGCGCAATTTTTATATCATATATAAATACTAAAATTTCATTTTAAATTTATAACATTGGTCGCACATAAAGCTAGTTACGGCATTGGTTGTAGGTAACACATATACAAGGCTATAGTAGTAAATTATGATAAGTATTTAAATTTTGATGACAACATATTCAATAAAGAGGATGAAAAAGAAAATAAATATCTTTTTATAGCTGAATTGCTATATATTTTGACATATTGTTACTCTATAGATACTTTATAATTATATGATAATATAAAGGAATTATTTGTTTAATTATCTGTTAATCATACATAAATTTATCATTATTTATTAAATTATTTATTTTGTATAGTTAAGTAAATGAGTACATTTTTGTTCAAGATCATCAACCATTACAAAATATTGGGGAACCAAAATATTTTATATTTTACATCATATTATATAAACAATTTAAAATGTCAATTATCTATGGTTGTTTGTATAAAAATTACAACAAAAACAAAGTCAATATTTTAGAAGACTAGTTTTACTATATATATTGTTTTAAGGTAATTATCCAATATGTTTTTGTAGTTATAAATTATTTAGTATATCTTAACACATTAATTGCCATGCGGCCACCAGCTTCCGTATAAAAATAATTAGGTATTGATAATTTTCAGACCGCTGGCTGCCGCACTATATGATTTGTAGGAGATTCATAAGGCCGCGAGCTGCTATAAATTAATTTGGATTTATATTATTAACTTTTCCGTAGCATTACAATAATGATCTATAAAATAAGCTATGGCATAGCGGGAATTATTGCAATTTTTTTGATGTAATAAACATAATTTTAACATTTTTTTAGTATTTATGATGAATGCTGACTTTAAATTTAAAATTTGATATATTTTTAAACATTACCTAGGCTATATTTTATAAATTAAGTAAGAGTTGGCCAAAAGTAATCTAAAAAGACAAGTTTATTTGATTGTCRTTTTTAATTTAGCAATAAATTTCAAGAACTAAAATATTTCAATAATAAAAAATAATAATATTTGTATTAACATTTGACAGAGACAGACATTGTGAAACATTGGACATATTATGTTGAAACGTCTATCCAAAATGGAATACATCATAATTTATCACATTATAAATGATACATGGGGAAATTATTTATCTAATATGCAATCATAATTGTACAAGACAAAATTACTCAATATTATTAATATACATTTATATAGATAGGAATTATAACATAAAGGAGTTTATAAACACTATATTTAGTATACTCATATGAAAATTAAATGTTTTGTTATAAATAACAGCACATTACAACAGCCCATTACCTAATAAAATTCATCATTATTTCATAAACAAAATAATGATGTAAAATATATTGCTGGTAAGTTTTATTTATGTTTCACTACAGTCCATCCATCATCACAAGTTTCAGACTCTTCACTAGACGATGAATCATTTTTCTAAAATAAATAAAAAAAAAATATAATTAAGTTTAAGTTTAAAAATAAATATATATGTACTATATCATTAAAATTCATTATATTAGTATTATATATTGTCATTGATAGGAAAAAACCTCCTAAATTAATGATTTTTAGGTCTTAGCATCCATGGATTCAGAAAAAAAAATCTCTCCAATGTTTTACCAACTATAAATAATTTATGAAATAACTCCTATGTGATTTTTTTATTTAAAATGTTTTTGGTATTTCCAGAAAACTACATTTTTCTAAATAGGAAGTTTATTCTCCTCAACAACATTATACTAGCTGTATAAAATTGCCCGAGAAAATTGAACAAAAATATGATGGCCTTATGTTGTTGTATTTCAGTCTTAGTGTACGTCAGTCAACTGACAGAGGATTTATTTTTTAGATTTTTGTGTTTATTATTTTTAAATTAACTAAAAAATTTAATATCTTGTAGTGTCACACTTTTTTTTAAAGGAAAAGGTTTTACTATTTTTTTAATTTTTTTTTTATACTAATAGTTGGTTCCACTTTTTTATTTTATCGCTTAATATTCTATAAACAAGGAGGTGGGTTCATAGCATAATGGTTTATAAGTTTTAACCTGCTACATAGTATGCACTGTGCAAATTTAAATTGAAAACATCACATTTAGGTATTTTTAGGATTATTACAAACTTAAAAAATGAACTTTGTTATATGCAAGGTGTCTCACGAGGATTTACCCATCGCGAAATAATGGAGATATAAAAATTCTGGTATGGCAATATGACTAGCAGAGTTAAGAAATACAGTTATTTTATTTTTTGATTAATTTTAATTTTTTGGTAAGAAATTAAAAAAATATATTCTTTTATTTAAATATTTCCAAAAAAAATTAAAGATAGCCAATTTGTAGTTTATTTTACTGAAAATATTGACATTTAAAAATTTCATTTTCATTAATTTCCTGATTTTTAATATTTTTTTTAGTTTTGAAGAAATAAAATATGATTATAACTAAGCACATTGAAAGTGTTCGACCGGTTGTACAAGAACATCAAGAATGTGAATGGGTAACGTGCTTGATAACACTATGGTGTTAAATAATTCACAATTTTTCACGAAACTAAAAAAAAAATTAAAAATCAGAAAATTAACACTACAAAATGGCAAAGAGCCAATTTTTTTGGAAATAATTAAATAAAAAAAAATTTTTTTTTAACTTTTTTACTAAAACATTAAAATATGAAATAATTGTAGTTTTTATCCCTGTGACTCTTATTACAAAACCAGAAACTTGACATCTCCATTATTTTAGGAGATATCGCAATGGGTAAATCCTCGCAGGATACTCAGTATAAAAATATATTGTTCATGTGTATATATTAAGTAAGAATACAGGTGTGTTGCTGAAAAACATTTAAGTGATAGTGATGTATAAAAAAATATACAGTTAATTCTTTAGTCAGTGAGTTTACAAAGAACAAAAATAAAATTATATAGCCAAATATAAAATAGGTAGTGTTACCTATAATATGCAAGATAAGAGTGAACAAAAGGTAATAAATTGTTATTTAAATTGTTTTACAAAGTATTATGTTGGTCAAGACCTGGATTCTAAATTTTTCAAGTTTGCAAAGGCGTTTGGAATTTCCACAGATGATAGATGCGCATAACTGTTTTAAGTAAGTGTTATTTCATATTATGTTCAAAAATGAATTAGAAAACTCTGTTAAATACAGAAGAATTAACATTTGATATGTTATATAATTGTGACATAGACACAATGTTTTAAGCATAATTATTTTAGTAGTCATAATCTTTAGCAATAAAATATAGAACAGAAAAATTAATTTAATTATAAATAATATATAGATGAGTATATCAAACATAATTAATTGGTTTATTGCTGAGTCATTGCATTCAATTTACAACCTCAAATGAAAGAATTTTTTTTTATTATGTTAAATTATTGAAAATTTACTATTTATTTAAAACTAAATAGAAATGTGTAAACTTTCAAATATTATATTATTAAACTTAACAAACAACAACATAGAACACTAATGTTATACAAATTACCTTTTGTTTTTCACGTATTGGTCTTCCTGGAACAATTTGAATAGGAATTGTTGTAGGTAAACTTCTAAGCTCATCTATAACTTTTGTTCGGCCTTCCAGTGACTGGTTCCAATCACAGTAAAGTTTACATATATGTTTACTTAAGTCATCAGCAGAAGCATCTTCAAGGACAACATCAAATCCAACATCCATTACGTCTTCAATAATATCAGATATACTCGTCCAACACATGTTGTCACCTTAATTATGATGGATTAAATAATCATTATAATTTTCAAAGCACTAGACTTCATAATTTATAATATTTTAGCAGAGAAAAAACAACATTCATCAAAATTATGAATTGTAAATGATTGATAACTATTGCAAATTAAAAATCAGAAGAATATTTTAAAGCAATAACTCAATAAATTAAAAAAGATTATGTACAAACCAGATTTTCGAAGACATTCAAGTATATTTTTTATTAGGTCACTTATTTTGAATTGCATGACTTCAGATGATCCACCCATGCCATGTTCAACAGCCAACTTGAATGTAAAAAAAATAATTATAATAATAATCAATTAAAAAATATGTTGTGTAGAAATCACAGATAAATAATAATTACTTTAAGTGCGGTCCAATTGTTGAACAGCACGCCAATTATGTGCTCGAAATTTGTGTCGTGGTTTAGAATAAATAACGACATGATTGTAAGTAAAGCAGGAATCAAAATTTAAAAGATATTGTAGATTACCTTAATAAGACCTGTGAGAACGAGTGCGACAATGATTATCAGTCAAAAATAATTATTTATAATTAATAAATATTGTCCATTGTCCTCGTGGTTAATATTTAAAAATTTGTATATTGTATTATTATTATCAAATATCAATTATCATTGACAGGAGATTGATAACAGTTTTACCGGCTGATTACAAAAATTGTGTTGTGCACATACTAGAATAAAGCTTATAGATCATAATATACCATATTCATTCCCTATACCTTATGGGTACACGGAGCGTTCTGTGATCGAAGAGAACTTATGTTACCACAGTGGTTAGACAGTGGTTAGATAGTGGTTGCCGGGTAGCAAAATTTTAAAATATATCAGCCCATTAATTACCATTCGACTATCAACAATCAGATAGGGCATAGATAATTAATMATTTTTAATGATGACAATAATATTGATATTTGATATAATAAAATAATAATTGTTCGGTATAAATACAAATTAATATAAAATGGGTGATCTGCTATAGGGCATGCCGCCATGTCAAAAACTTATAATAATATAATGTATAATAATATCACAGAATAGAATCTATTATTATAAATAAATATGATATAACTAATATTAATAATGATAAATAATGATATTTTCAATTTTGTTATTGTCAATCATAGATTTAGGTTAAGTCTAGCATGAGGTTTATGTTGTCATTTTGTCAATACATAATAATAAAGTACATGACAAATAAGAATTTATTTAATTTATTTGTCATGATAAAGTATAAACATAGGTTAAATAATAGGTTAATGAATAAGTTTAGTTACATTAAAATTAAAATTAAAAATYACATAAAAACATATTAAAGTTATTGGTTTTGAAATAAAACAAGTTTTGTGTATTTAGACCTAATTGCTATGGTATCATTTTCATTTTTTAATTCGTGATACATTTGTATATCTATATATTTGAAAATAATTAAATTCGTCAATTGGTTCCTGTGAGTATCTAAAATGGATATGTTTTCGCTGCAATCGTTTTTATTAAAATATATGTTTAATTGATGCAAATTAGTACATAATTTTTAGTTGTAATTCACAATATTATAACTTAAGAGTTAAAATTTTAATTATTTGATTTCTCTACTCAAGAATATAGCAATATAATGATTTATTATTATTTAATATTTATGGTGATAAACTGATAAAGCCTATGTAATTTAAGTTATCTTCCGTCAATGCTGCAGTCTGTGAATCTGTGATAACCATAGACCTTATACCACAGCTTATACTTAAATATATTAAGGTCTATTATGGTCGTAACTAAATAATTCATGACCGCGGTTGAAAATAATGTAAACATTCAACATTGTATAAAAACGGTTAGTGATAAACGAATATTTCTTATCGCAGTTATATATTTTTAAATGTTGTTAGTGTTGTTACTTTGTTAGTTTTAAACTTTAAAGCAAAATTTAACTCTTTAATCTTTCATTCATTTAAACTTGAATATATTTTTTGTTATAAGTAATAACTTATGGATGACAAATTTTTATACTTAATTTTTTTGATAAATTAGTTCATAGTATTATACTACTATTATAGAATCTACTGAAAATTTGGATTTGTTAAAACTCTGTGATACTATCAAATTGAAACTATTAAAATTAAACATTAACTTGTAAATTATATACGTTTGTTTACCAAGTAATATTATATTACACAATTATTCCTCTATCCTGGTAAGTTCTCAATCTTTTATCTGTTTTACATATTATTATAATAATAGTAAAAAAGGTTTTAATTGTATTCATACATAATAATGTACCTATATATTTTTGTATATAAATTATCTTCGAAGTTATAAGTACTTATTGCAATTTTTTTCCAGTTTTTTTTTTTTTTTAGTAACTAAATTTAATACATAGATATAATTAAACATACAATATTGTGTATAATATACAATATTGTGTATAATTTTAAGTTTGAATAGTTTCATATTCCTTAACAAAATATGTGTTTAACATAACTGTAATATAAAATATGAGCCGGTAGTTTTTAATTATTAATAATAACAATAACAAACATTTAGAGAAAGACAGTGGTGTAAAAATATCCTACTTCATTCAGGCAGACTTTAAATTACAATTTATTAATTTCATAATTATTATAGGTATTTGTGTATAAATATCCTGTAACCTATTTTAAATTATCGCCATCTGATTAAACTGTTTTTTTTAATGTACAATTATAAGTATGATATACAAATATAAAATAAAATTACTTCAACTTCTTGATATTATACAACTAAAAAAAATTAAGTACAAAAAGTGCATTGTTATTATATATATATTTAAAAATACTTTGTTACAGATAGATACCTATAATTCTTGAGAAACTATTTCTACAATGCCAAATTTGCCTCCATTTTTTAATGGAAAGATTAGTGGTGTTTTAATAATATCTATAGTAGATATATCATGGTTTAACAGTTGTATAAAAAGTTCCTATGTACAATTTGAATGGACCGGATGTCAAGAAAGACAAAAACTTTTGTAAGCAATTTATAAATAATACATAAAACTAATATTAGTAATAACTAATATGTATTTTAATTATTAGTTAGAAATTAATTTTTACTAAGAAGTTTGATTTTCATCCTCTCCTTTAATTTGTAAATATTATACACTACAAAATTAGTAAGTTTTCAATATCATTTATAATGTAATATGATTTTTGACAATATTTTTGATATTTGATATTTGATATTAATTTGTATTTAGTATATATGTAGATATGTGATATATTAATGTTATCTATCAGCTATTAAATACAATAATTATTAGGTATAAATAACTATATATTACGTTTTAATGTTAATAGTATAACTTAAAAATTATTTTAAAAAAAAGTATTTTTGAGCTCATAATCAATCCATGTAAGTTGTATTAATTTTGTTATAATTATTTAAATTTACCATAACTACATAATCAACCATGACCTGTTATTTTTAACAATCTTCTTATTATGCAAGATAAAATAGATCTATTTTGTCATACAATTAAGTATATTTATTATCTAAAATATTTTTCAGAACATCTAAATATTCTAAGATTACTTATGATATTCGAACAAGCTACAAATCATTTTTACACTATCTATCAACATGCACATTAAGATGTTCAATTAAAAATTATGAAAATAAAACATTAGCTCASGCAACTATGATAAACTTATTAATAGATCAAGATAACCAACTGATAAAAACTTTACCACTAATGAATAATGAGCAAATAGTTGGCACTCTAAAATTATGTTTCAATGTACAAACATTCGATGATACTTCATTTGACAATGATATAAAAATGTTAAGACAATTTGGAATTCAAGATGAAGTTTTAAAAACTTCAAATGACACAGAGTTTTATTACTCTGAAATATTGAAAAATAGTAAAAATGTAAAATTAAGACCTGTTAGTTCTTCATCATTAAGATCTAATAAAAGCAAAGAAGAATTGACTAGTGATTATTTAATGGGTAAGATATTGTCACTTTTTTTTGTCTAGAGTATTTGTTAGTTTTTTATCAATTAATTTCTAATTTTGGAAATGTTTAGGTAAAAATATGGCTCCTGATGAAGAAGAAGAAGCACTTCACGCTTTAAGAATAATGCCAAATAAGTCTACTGAAAGCTTAGTTAGTGCAGCTGAAAAAATTGGTATTTATTCACCTCCACAATCGCCATTACACATTCAAGTAACAAATAATTATATTAACATAACTATAAGATGTAGCATCATTTCAGGGACGGAGCAAATTTTTTTATTATCTCATCATAAATCTGAAACAAATCACTCTTTAACAATTGCATTACATTACAATTACAATTACATTTTTATCCCAATACAAATAGGTTTCTTCTAATGCATTAAATTAAAACAATGGCTAATCTAAACAATCAACATTAAACACCAAAAGCCCTTCTCTATTAAATACTTATCCCTGGCTATGCACAAGACAAAATACAACAAATCTGCAGAGTAGAAGATATTCTATCTACAGCCGTGTCTAGTCTAAAATTATTTTATCATCTAATATGTTAATTAGAAATACATAATAAAATCATGTAATCATGGCTTACAGTCCAAAACTAGCCTGTCAGCAACCCATACCTGCCCTGATATTGGCTCGCTTATGATAAGATGTTACAAATTCCTACCCTGCTCCCCAAATGACACAACTGATTATAAGTACTCTCAAAATGTATGTTAAACTAGAAAATAGTGACTACTTCAAAAAATATAGTTATTAAAAAATAATAGTACCATTATTTTGGGTAGATTTATAAATTTATCTAAGCCTAGATTTATAAAAAAAAAATCAAAACTGAAATATTTTAGTTTAGCAAGATTGTATAGACACTCGCAGAGAAGTTCCAGAGGGATATTAATATTAATTGTTTAATCACTTGTAAAAACAAAAAATAGTATGTAAAGTGTCATCAGTTTTTTAACTTAGAGCCTCTTATCCCTGTTTATATTTCTGTGGGCATCTGTATGAGTAGAAGACTTGAAATAATTACATCAGAGTATTAGATTAAGATACCAATTTAATGTTTAAGCCCCTAAATTGTAATTTTCACCACACTCTATTCAAGAATATTACCCAATATTCGATTAAGTAGAAACTAGCTGATTAAAATTAATTATTTATTGAATCCTTAAATAAATTTTCCTAAATACTTGTCTGACAAACTAACATATTTGTTAACTGCTTGACCTTCCTAAACTTTAAAACCTCCACTGCTTCATGTATTTATTTGTCTTAAATGTTTGTTCCTTTCTAAAACTATTATATGTATTAAAATTATTAATTTCTTAACTTTCTTAGAACAAAACTGTTTCTCATAAAATGGTTTATTGGCTTATATTTATATTTATGAATGTTTATAGGGATCTACCAAAGTTATGGCAGTTAAAAAACAGGGTATTAAAAACATGAAAACAATACAAGCAAATTTTAAGAAATCTTGCGAGGAATTCAATAAAAATGAATTTAAAACAGACTTCTCTAAAAAAATACATAAAGGTTAATAATATTTTTATAATACTACATATTATAAATGATTATTTTAATGTAGCAATAATGTTGTATACTATCTATATTAGTGCTTGGAAAGTTTCTTTAAAAAAGGAATTAGTTCACGTTCATTTTATAAAAGGTACTAAATCGTTTCTCGTTCTTGACCTGAAGAAAGGAACTGGGTTCTTTCTCCATTCCTAAATAAAGGATGTTTTTTGTTTCTCAATAATTTTAAAATTGCATAAATACAATTTTTAATAGCAGTAGTTAAGTAGTTATTTTGATTTAAAATGTTTAATTTCTTTTTTTATTATAAGTTGAAACCACAGTGACTATCTCAGTATTTTTGTAAATATTGTCAATACTATAGTATATTCTCAGATTATTAAGCTTATTATAATATTGACTAAATTTCTAAAAAAAAAAATTATTTTAAAAACTTTTACGATACAACTATTTCAATTCTCTATATTTAAGAATATATTATGAACAAAAAATAAATTACACATTTAAAATTCCTCTAAAAATGAAATGAAATATTAATATAATCCTTTCACACAAAAAAGTAACTACTTCCTCATTAAATACCTAAAATTGATCAAAATTATTGGAACCAGTTCATTTTTCCAACTCAGATTTTTTTCCAAACACTGATCTACATAAACTTTCTCAAACATTACCTGTCTATCGCAAATTGCAAATAAATATTTTTTTGGTACTTTTCAGTTATTGTACCCCTATGGTCGGCCGGCTATCTGTGGCGGCGGTCGGGATATACTGATTCCGTTATCATACCCCATTATAATATTTATCTCAATATCGTCACGTTTCATTGCCATAAATATAATTTATTTCAATAAAATAATAAAATAATATAAAAAAAAAAAAAATATATAATAAAATATGAATACCAAGAAAATTATTGTAAATAAAAAATATTTTTATAATGGAGGCATGAATTTAACAATGCCGTTTATAATTTGGGTAAACAAGCAGATGGTTTTTTATATTTTTGTCGCCAAAGGAAATTCGTGATATATATGATGAATGAGATAAATATAATGGGGTACGATAACCAAAAAGTAACTTTTTTTCTTCAACGTTTTTTTTTTTTTTGGATGTAAGTAACTAATTTTGATTATTATTTACTATTTTTTATTTTTTTATAGTGCCTGTGCCAAAAGATGATGTACATTTACATTTATCAATCCTTTCAATTAATGTTTATCGCACAGTTAAATCCCTTCAAAACTGTAAGTTTTTGTTATAAGTTAAAATTATATTTGTATAACCTTTAAGAGTATTAAAAAATTATAAAACATGTTATTGCTAATTTAATTAACACTCAATTTCTCAGTCAGATTACGTTAGATTGAATTTTGTCTTGACAAGCTAGAATTATTAAAATTACATTAATTTTAACCTATAGCCATTCGCTTATATACATTGGGGAGTATAAAATATATTTATTTTATACAAAAACTCATTTTTTTAATCCTATATATTGGGGTTGACTGAATGTAACCATTTTAAATTCAATTTTAAATAATTTTTTCTTTTTTAGATGATCTTGGGTGTCAAATAGTTTGAATGATTATTATTATCGTTGTTAGTGATAATAATATGATTTATTTTATTCAGCATTGAGTAGTAAAGCTTTAAATTTAAAAAATGTTAAAATATTCCAGAAATGTATATTACATACCCCTAGCTAGTCAAAAAGTTCTGATGCATTCTTATTTAATCTGGCCGAGAAATGTATTACTCCCCAAACGAAGAACTCACATTGTATAATACTAATAGAAATAACTGAATTTATACATACAAGAGTTTAATTTATTTTTATAATTCATGTCATAAATGCTATAATAATTAATACCTAACAATTAGACTAATATTTTTAAATCCTTTTTTGTTTAAGAAAAATTGTATAATATAATTGTAAGGCATGCCTATTAAGTATTAATTGTTAATCATGTATCTATTTAATTTACAATACATATATTTGATGAGTAAAGTTGACATTTGCAAAACAGGTTTTGCTATGTTGTACGTTTTTAAGACTAAGACAACATATGCAGATGTGGCATCCTCTTAAATCATAATAATGTTTAGTTTAAGTTTCTAGTGTATATTTAACATATAAAATGCAGAATTTATATTTTTTTAACTATTAAGTCATGTTTTTTTTTAATTAAGTATTCTGAAAACTAAACAAACTAGTTAAAATTAAATATCAACATTTTTTTTTTTTTAGATAAAAACAGCACGTATATTGTACAGTGTCTTAAGGATCAAGAACCATATAAGTTGTTGAGATTCATGACAAAGCATGTAGATGATAATGGTTAGTCATAGAACAGTATAACATATAATTAATATTCTAGTAGTTCATTATTAATGTTTTTAACTTAAATTTTATTTTATTTGGTTGTAGTTATAGCTCAATTACTTGAAATTAATTAATAATAATAATATTTGTTTTTATTTTAGTTGTAAAATTTAAAAATGTCACTCAGTCATCGCGGTTAGAAGGTAGTACAGTTAAAGGTGTCACCATTAAAGTGTATGTGAGACTTCTTAGCGAACGCTGCCCTCTAGTTTTGGGTGAAACAAAACAAATGTTAGACTGGACTGGATTTTCAACTACTTTTAATGTTCCTCGATTTATAAAAGTTCCTATATGGAATAATGATAAAATTACTGGACACGTGTCTTTGTCATATGAATTTTCTAGAACACCCACAGTTCAAAAATATGAAAATAATTTTTCTGAAAAACAAGAAGAAAATATAATAGATAATTATATAGATGATCATAAAAACCAACAGTGTAAACTTTTTGAAACTTCTAATCCAGTTGCTATTATAAATAAAAAAACATTAGAAGATAATAAAGATACCAACTCATATCTGACAAAAGACCAAATATATATGTACAATAAACTATATCCTGAAAGTATTAAGGATAATTTTACAACTAAACTAACGTTAAATGAATCTCCAAAAATAGTATCAACTAAGACAACAAAAGAAAAAGAAATTCAAACCAACTTTGAAGTTCGTCAATTAAATAAATCTGTGCAAACTCAAATAAACACTTTCACTGTTGCAATTCAAGTTAATAGTGATGAACTAGAAGATCTCTTAGATAAATCAAATCTTTGTGATGTACAAAATATATTTCGGTGCACTCATGAATTCACACTTAATATTGAAAAAAAATGTGATTCAACATTCAATTATGTAACATATCAATTTCCAGAATGTGTTACTAATAACATTGGAAAAGGTATAAGTGCTGTAGTAAGATGTGTTAATTATAAATTAAATGTTATTTATTTTGTTTGTTTGATTTTAGTGGTCTCCAATTGTCGAGCATTCAGAACTTTTGGCAACACTAATATTTTACATTTGATTACATTACCTACAACAATTCCTTTAGAAACTTATTTTTATAATAATTATAATAAAGTAGCTATTATATTAAATCTTTATAAAAATAATGATGATCCTCCAGAAAAGGTATAAGTTTTATATTTTTAGCATTATACAATCTTAATAATTTATATATATGTATGTTATAGGTCTCACTTCTAGTGTCTCATCTCATTGACATGGCCAATAAGTTTAAAAACTCACACATTGCTAAACATTTAATTATAAACAATAATTTATCTCTACCTGAATTATCTCTTAATAATGTTAAAATACAAATATATTACAAACGAGTATACCACTCATTTCCATCCCCTGAATCAAATCTTAAAAACTCATGTGGTCCATCATATAAGACATTAAAAAAAAATTCAAAAAATATTATTGACTTGACTGAATCTGATTCTGAAGATGTTATTAATAAGACATATACTTTATTGAAAAGCAACATTAAAATGACTGAATTGACTACTGAAAGCAGCACACAGACAGATCCAATACCTGTTAAAATATCACATAATTGCTTAACTCAAACAGAAATCGATGTGAAACCAGAATCTATAAATATTGATGATGACAGTATCTCAATTAAAAATGAAAAACAAAATATTATGTGCAAAGACACGATTCCTATAGTTAAAAATCATCCAAAATGTACAAATACAAAAATTACACATGACACTACAGTTGTTGATGAAAAATTCAATAATAGTGATATTTTTAAAGCAAAAGTGACTGTTGTTGAGGGGTATAACTTACCAATGGTTAAACTAAATGGTGACACCATACCTTCAGCTCCAACTACATATGTAATCATGGAAGCTTATGGTGGCAATAGTTTCTTGACGTCATCTGTGGTACAACAAACAAACCCCATTTGGAACAGTGAATGGACAGTTTTTATGCCTAGGAATAATTTAATAGAAGTATAAAACATTTTTATTTCATGATCTATTATTTTTTATTTTAGGCCTATCTAGAATTTTTCTATTTCATCTATCTTGTTATTGTCTTATTAAATCCATTATTATTATCAYATTAATTACAGCAAACAAATATATTATTTTCTAACTCATCATGCTATATGTTTTCAAACATATTCAGAAAAATACTTGCTGTTAACAAAAAATTTTAATATTAGCATGTCCTCAGTCAATCCGAGCTTAGGAGTTGTTGTAATAATAAAGTGATGTACACAGCATTTGGCGCTTGTTTGCCTCACCAATTGCAGCCGTTGTGTGTAGAAGCTGGTTACTCTTATTTAAAGCAAAATATAATTATTCATCAAAAGTTCTTTGATTTATTATTTTGTTAACTATCTTATTTTATAATTGTTATCCATTTCTTTTATATATAATGTATTTACAGGGTTATTATTTTTATGATGAATCATTTGTTATTTTAACTTTTTAAAGTATAAGTATAATTTTTTAAATGGTTTCAAATTTTTAAACATTTTTATGAGTTTCTATTTAATGGACATACAGTTTGAATTTAATTTTTAAAAGCAGTTTATTTTTAAAAGTATTTCTATGTAAAAAATGTAATTTAAGATGAATAGTTGACAGTTGAGTGGAGTGATAAGGTCTTCAAAATGTTGTTCCACTACTCCCCTCATCTTAAATTTTAATACTTATCAAGTTATAACTCATAAACTACTAGTTCTTAAATCTATTTTTATGCAACGGAATACTCAGATATAATGTTTGTCCATGAGTTAAAACTTCTGTTGCCTATGTAATCATAATGATGGATTAAAAAAAAAATAATTATTTCTACAACAAATCATAATCCATACATTATAATCTATCAGCTATTACTTATTACACTTTGCATTTCTTTTGATAACTGACACAACACTTATATTGAATGAATTTATTGTTACTATAATTAATAATTATAATTTTGCTTTTATTTTTAGGAAAAGTGGCTAATATTAGAGTTGTGGTGTAAGAAGTATAAAAATGAATATGCAGGACATGATCCAAAACGAGACATGAGACTTGGATTTATTTTAATAGATTTATCTGCACTTAAGTATAATCCCAATAAAGGATCTTGTGGGTTATACGATGTCATTAGCGAAACTGAAGAACTCCATGGAAAAATTAAAGTAAATTTTATAATCATACCTAATTTTTATTAAATTATTTAAGCAATATATATATATTTTTTTTTACTTTAGGTTAAGATAAATCAAATTAATTGTATTGATCCTTACGTAAAAAACAATTTAATACCTCAACCAATTAATGATAGAAATATTATTCAAACCAAAAACAAATCTACAAGCCAAAAATCAAATGATGATATCACGTGAGTTACTTATATGTAATAAGCATGGTTATATGTTATAAMTTATAATCATGTAGTATGATATTAATTATTAAAGTTTAATACTGAAATTGTTATTGACTTGTAGACGCCAATTATTTCCTTATTAAGTTATTAAAAAGAGGAGGTTAGCTCTCCAACATTTGTATTCATTCTTAATTCATATTCAGTAAGATTCATATATATGTAATTTAAATTCCAATATATCTAAACAGAATTTAAGACCTTAATTATTTAAATAGATATTATCATATATGACATAAATTTGAAAATAAATCATTAAGTTGAAAGAATATTTAGAAAATAATTAAAATTATAAAGAAAATATCCAGTTAATTTTTTTTTTTTTTTGATAATGGTAAAACTGAATTTTCTTCTTGGATTGAAAATCGTACTTTATAGTAGTCTTAAGAAATTTATAATTTTAGCTATTTAAAAAGAACTAATTTGCMGTTTTGAATATGCCAAAATGTATTAGTAAATAAAATAATAATACCAAACGAATAATTATTAATGTTTCAAGAAATGAAATGATCGAAAAAATGCAAATTGAAGATAATTTTCATGTGGAAACAAGAAATCCTAGAAACACTGTTACAGTTAGAGATAAAAAATTCAATCAACACATCGATCTTACTGAGGAATCCCTCCAAAAGTTTAGCAGGATTCAATTAAATAATACAGTTGCCAAATCCAGTGTAAATGGTTGTTTTTACGACAATGATAATGTATTTGACAATATGGGAACTATAAGTTCAGTTACATCTTGGACAAGTTCTTCAGATGATATATTATGTTCAAATAATTCTCAGGTAATTTGTATTATAAGAACATATTTCTTTAATGTAATGTATTAGTAAAAAATCAGATTTTTACAATTTTACCTATGTATGCATTCATGTGGAATACAAATTTATTCAAAACTTCATAAAATTGTCATGTTGTTCTTATTTGAATTAAAATTTTATTTATACCCATTCTATTTTTTTCTAAAACAGATCAATTTACTATAATAGTAATTGTACTAATACATAATATTTTTAATATTAATGTATTAAAATTTATTGAAATTTCAGATTGTGAACAATATACTAAGTAACAAAACCAAAATGAATCGAATAAAACAAATTATTCAAAGTTAAATAATTGTCAAGTACTTTCTTGTAGTACATTTAATATTTTATCTACCTTATTTAATAAATTGTAAAATGTCCTATAATATTATTGTACTCAATTTAATATTTTTATTAATCCATTTTGGAGTGTTACATATAAATGTTATGTTACCAATTTACGTTTAATTCGAATGTATGTCTTTTATTTAAACAGTAAAATTGTATAGTTTATTACTGAATTTGTTGTAAACAAGTAATGTATTTTATTATGTTTTATAGAAATATAAGACAATTCGTGACAACAAATCTTTTAGGTAGTAGAACTCTTTTCAGGGTTTTCCTCTCACTTTTTATAACCATTTAATTGTAAATAAGAGTTTAATCTAAACATTCAAATATTTTATATTTATGTTTTGAGAATATTTTTGTTTATTGGAAAATTAATTTTTTTTTTTCAAATAAAAACCTTACTGGAACTATAAATATTATCTTAATATCATCATAAATTCTTATCAGATATAATACTAAATATAACAGGGTGATTTATTATCAAGCTTAACTCACGTTATATTTTTTTAGTAATAAATTCATTCAAATTCTGAATTGTCGTTGTTTAGACATTTTAAGTATACCTAAATACCATATTTTTAAATTCCTGTTATTTTTTGTACTATTTATAATTTATAACATTTTAACAATTACCACTTTATTGTGGAAATATAGATTTGCCAATGCCCTATAAACATAGCTCTATGAAATTTGCACTTAGCACAGCATTATTGTAAATATTAAAAACAATTGTTTTTATTAACATCATTAGATTATAACTTGTTAGTAATAAACTGTTTAAATAATAAGTGAAAAGATTAAAAAGTAGTATTAAAAAAAAAAAAAATAGCAATAGCAATCCAGCCTGTTATGTTTAATATAAAAACAAATTAACTCATAAATATATTTAAAAATAAGAGTATTACCTAGTGAATATCATATTTTAGTTTTTAAGTAATTATGAGTGTAAATTGTTTGTACATATTTAAATACTCATAACTCGCTTTAAAATTAAAAAAACTACAAGAACTAGTTTTTTCTAATTGCTTTGAAAATCACAATGAATTTTTCACTTTTGTGTTACTAAATTCAGAAACAACTGTTCATCAAAAACATTATTTTATTTCAAAATATAATAACAAACAAAAAAAAAACGGGGTAAGTTGTGGATGTCGTTCTGCTGTACAGTAGGTCACTGTAATGGATGGAATGAAATTTGAATCCAATGATATTATAATATCATTGTATACGAAAAACGATTCTGAGCGGAGACGGTTTATCTGTTACATTTGTAGACTGTAGGATATATTATTATAGATAGTTAAAAATCTTCAAATCTTAGATTTAAAAAGAAAATTTTTATGAATTTCTAGCTTAAAATAATTTGTGAATTTTAATTTTTTCAAGCTTTTCTATCCAACAAATAAGTTTTTTCGATATTTATAGAAAAAAAAAACTAAAAAAGTTTAAAAATTAAAATATCAGTAAACAGCTCAAAATATTTTGAAAATTATATCAAATATAGAAAATGCCTATATAAACATTCAGTGAAAATTTCAAGTATCTGCGGTAATTTGTTTTAGAGTTACCTACTCCAAAATAAGAAAACCGCTAAATGAGAAATCTAGTGAAAATCCAATGTAAAAATTTAAATTTCAAATGTTCATAAAAATTTAATAGGAACTTCTGATGGACATTTTTTTTATGATAACGATTGCCAAACTTATAAGGAATCTTGTATTAATTTTTCAATCTTTTCTACTCATCAAATAAATTTTTATCGATATTAATTTTAAAAAACTAATAATGATCAAAAATTGCATATACCTATAAATACTTCAACTTAAGTCAACATTTTTTGAAAATTGCACGGTAGATACAATAATATACTTATATAAAAATTCGGTGAGAATTTCATGTGCCGATGGTCATTTGTTTTAAAGTTACAACAAAAACCAAAATCGATKGTGCGTATTAATTCCCATTCTTTCCTTAATTTTTAATTTATTTATCCCAATTATTAAGAAAAATATTGGGAATTTTTTACTTTTGACCCCCCCATAAGAAACAACTAGATTTACTTTCTGATCGAACGAGGTATTGAAGTCAAAAATTGAAGCACTTTTACTGCCCTATAACGTGATGACACACACAAAAAAAAACACACATCATGGTATAATCAATACATTCCTCACTTCGCTCAGAATCTAAAATACTTCAATGTAAAACCAAGTCTTAGAGAATGGAGGAGTTGATACTGCCATATAGCATTTGTGGGTATATAATGTGGTTCTGTTCTATCTGAATGTTGAATCTAATGATTATAAAAAACATGTATTATACTAGTATACTTGTATAATCATATTTAAATTTAAAAAAAAAATGATATATCTCATAGCTAGGTATATTGTATATAGTAAATTACATAACAAAACTATTATTGTCATGGTAAATAAATTGTAGAATAAAACACATAAAATCAATATTATATATTACATATGTCAAATGAAAACATTAATATTCAGTGGTTATGTGTGCTTTTAAAATTTAAGTAAAGTATTTCAAATTATTTTTTATTATACATTAATTTCAAAAAAAAAAAAAAAAATTATAAATACCTAGTTTAAACATGCAATACAGGTGTTACGCGAGGATTTACCCATCACGATAACTCCCGAAATTAATGGAGATGTCTAGATTCTGGTATTGTAATAAGATTCACAGGAATGAGAACTACAATTATTTTTTTTTAGWTAGTAGAGTCTTATCAAACACGTGTAACGCCGCACTGCCCTCGTGCTTCTACGGCCAGCCGAACGTTTTCAGTGTGCCTAGTTGTATAGGTAATCACTTATCATATTTTATTTCTTCAAAACTAGAAGAAATATTAAAAATCAGGGAATTAAMAAAAATACAATTTTGAAACGTTAATATTTTCAAAAAAATAAACTCAACAAAATGGCTCCATAAGGTTTTTGGAAATAATTAAATAAAAATATATATATTTTTAAATTTTTTATCATAAAATTAATATAAATTAAAAAATGTTAGTTTTTATCCCTGTGAATCTTATAACAAAATCAAAATTTTTTTATCTCCATTTTTTCGTGTAATATCGCAAAGGGTAAATCTTCGCGAGACAGTCTGTATAATATTAGTTTGGACTATCCGATAAAAACTAAATAAAAATGTGATAATTGTAAGCTAAAAAAATCGATAAATTGGTAATTATTGATTTGACAGTATGAATCAATTATTTTGTATTGAAATTTAAATGATTCACATACCTTAAAAATTCATAATATTTACATACCTACCAATTAATTTTTTCCATAATTCATTTATCACTATTACAAAAACACATAATTATTTTAATGTCGTCATAGGTACTTCACTAAAACATAAATTGATRAAATGTCACTTCTCATTYCATATCACGAAACGACCAATATAGCTATTTATTGGAATATTCCATAATATACATCCTATACTTATTGTTACAAAAATCAAAGGCCTAGTTCAATATAAGTATAAACGCTAAAAATTTCAAAACAAGATCGTAACATTTATAAATTTTTAATATTTGGATAATGAATATTTTATTATAATACATTTTACTAAATTTAGACAGCCCTTGAAAGTCTATTTCATAAAGCAGTACGCATTATATGTTTTACAAGGGTTCAAATTTCAAAATAGTGTTTTATTTCTGATTATAAGCATTTTTTAATACTTTGGCCACATTAGTAGTTTCATTGTTATGGATTCACCTTATCTTTACACTTGGTAGCCATCTTGACATTTTAACCAAAAATTCAGTTTGGAACTAATTCTTTTATACACATGCGTGTTTATGATGTATAACTTAAAAGGTCTTCAATGGATTTCTTTTAGACAATACCCAAAATCATACTACAGTTTCAGATGTTACCTAAAGAAAAATCAAGCTAATGAACCTGTTTTTATCTACTGGAAAAGCCTAATTTAATGAGCTATCAACCAAATTTCCCCCCACAGTTAATAGAAAATTAAAAAATAGTTTTCAAAACTGAATCACAATTTTACTGGATTCAAATCATTGCACTACTTGCAAACAACATTGTACCTCTCATTGACATCTTACATTGTGATATCATATTATCAATATTATTTCTTAAATAAATTTTATTGTATTAAGTGTAGAATAACCATGAATATATAAAATAAACCACCATTTACAAGATACGCAGTCTCAAGCTTTGTTACCATAGTTGTCAAGATTCTGTTTTAGTGGGGCCAAATCAAAAAACTTATTACTGTAGATGCTCAAACACAGAATTGAGGGTTTTGAATTTGAAACATTACTCTCATATTGAAAAAATACTGTATACTAAATAGAGTGAATGCTCCTATCAGTCATATATCTATCTGAATCAAGATGCAATGGATAAGATGGTCATTTAGATAGACATTTTGAATTATGATTCATCAATGTTATAGGAAAAATTAAAACAAAAACTTTTATGATAATTTTGTTTATTAGTCCAATTATGCCTTAGCTTTACCAGTAGACTTAGCTTTTGGTGCAGCCTTGGTAGTAGTTGCAGGTTTTTTAACCTCAGCCTTAGCCTTAGGTTTTGGCTTTGGTAATTGTTTCTTGCACCTCTTGGTAGGTGGAGCACCACCACGTGCTGCCAGTCGCTTTTTATATGCTTCMWATTTCTTTTCATGAACTTCACGTAAACCCTTAACTGCAATAACCTTCTTAGCCTTGATTTTGGCAGCGCGTAACATTTTCTTTTCATTGATGAAACGTTTCAATAATTTTTCACCCTTCTCAGTGGTTGGTCTCTAAAAATATTAACAACATTTAACAGCTGTAGCCTATTTTAGGCTATATGTAAATATGCATGTTTTACTTACACCTTCTTTCTTGGCTAAGTAAGTTTCACGAGCCAGAGTTCTTAACTTGTTTTCATTGCTTGCAACACGTTTTTGAACCGCAATGTAAGGATTCAATCTTAGCATGGTGCGTACATGT